TTTTTTTTTTTTTTTTTTTTTTTTTTTTTTTTTTTTTTTGTGGTTTTTTTGTTTTTTTTTAAGTTAAAAAATGTAAGAGGAAGCTGAATTAAGTGCAGTTCGAGTTCATCAGTCTGACAGCTGCAGGGAAGAAACTGTTTCTGAACCTGGTGCTCTTGATCTGAATGGTCCTCAGCTGCCTGCTTGAGGGAAGTGGCTGGAACAGACTGTGTGCAGGATGAGTGGAGTCCTTCATGATATAGAGCGCCCTCCCCCTTCATCGTGAAATGTAGAGGTCCGAAGTGGTGGGAAGGCTGCTCCCCACAGTCTTCTGTGCAGCCTTAACCACCCTCTGCAGAGCCATCCTCTCAGCAGCAGTGCAGCTGCCGTGCCACACGGTGGTACAGGTGCAGAGAACGCTCTCCACCACACAGCGATAAAAGCTCCTCAGGACAAAGATGGCTCAATATGATATTTAGCAAAAATATAGCTACAAGCCCACAATAGCAAAAGCTAAAAGTAGCAATATTCTAGCTAAAAATTTTAAAAGACTAACCAGAAGATAAGGGTTTCACAAGCCTGGCTAAAAGCTAAAAATAGCAAAAGGCTTAAAGCTAAATGAAGCAAAACATTAAAAACTAAAGAAGTAGAAGAGAAAAATATAGCTAACATACTGAAGCAGATTTTTAAAAGAACAATTGTTTTGAAGGAGGGCAGCACTGCGGCTCAGTTGGTAGAGCTGCTGCCCCTCACCGAGCAGGTCGCCCCAGTTCAAATCCCGGCTGGGAGCCTTTCTGGGTGGAGTTTGTATGTTCTCTCTGTGCATGCATTGGTTTTCTCCAGGTGCTCTGGTTTTCTCCCACAGACCAAAAACATGCATGTTAGACTGATTGGTAACTCTAAATTGTCCCTAGGTGTGAGTGAATGGCTGTTTGTCTTGTTTTTCTCTGTGTCCCTGTGATGGACTGGAGACCTGTCCAGGGTGTCCCTCACCACTTGCACTTTGATAGCTGGACATGGGCACCAGTGACCCCTGCAACCCGAAAAGGAAGAAGTTGGTAAAGATAATGGATGGATGGATGGATGGATGGAAGTTTTGAAGGAATTGAAAATATTTCAGACATTTCAATGTATTCAGTGGGGAAAATCCACTTGTCCAATTTATACTTCAAATCTTTGGTCTAGCTGCAGTTAAATGCAGGCTTCCTCTGTATATAAAGTTGCAATGAAACACAATTTTTGATTTAAAATATACAGAATTACTGGTACATGTATTTAGAAAATAATCATTCAGAAAGTTAATATTCTTAACTGAGCAATAAGCAAAGCTAAGGTTTTCTTTGTGCAAGTAATACTGACAAGTTTAGCTTTAATAATTAGTAAAGCATACCTTGATGGTTTAAAATGTTTAGTGTTCAATCTGTCAAAATATTTCAGGTTGAGTTTTGTTAGGGAGTGAAGATGGAACCAAGCTGAATATCTGACTTAAAATGCATAAAAAGTAAGGATGAAGAGGTCAAGAGACAAAATAGACACATGCTACTCCTCTGTTGTTTACGATAATTCTGAAAATGAACTAATTTATTTTAATTTGATTTCATTTTGCCATTAACTTGAAGGTTTTCAAGTTTTATTGCAGCATCCATCAATCATCTTTATCGACCTTTATTTAACCAGGCAAAACCCATTGAGATCATGGATCTCTCATTCAAGGGAGACCTGGGCCTGAAGGCAGCCTAACATGCATTTTTTTGGTCTGTGGGAGGAAACTGGAATACCCGGAGAAAACTCACACATGCACGGAGAGAACATGCAAACTCCACCAAGAAAGGTCCCCGGCCAGGATTTGAACCGGAGACCTTCTCATGGAGAGGCAGCAGCTCTGCGTGACCGTGCTGCTCTTTCATTGTAACATTTCAAGAAAATGATTCTTTGCTGTTGGAAGACAAAAAAGTTTTGATGTTGTAACACAGGCTGTACTCAGGAATCGTGTGCAAGTATTTTTATTTTCTTCAGTATACTTCAGTATAAACATGAAACTCTCAGTAAAAAGGTTTAGTTTTAAGTCTGGTTTTGTTCTGTCAGGGGTTGTGCGGGTTCGGTGCTCCATACATCGTGATCTCTCTTTGTTGAGATAAACCTGGCAGGTATTGAGGGGTCCCAAGGTTGCCATGGTGATAGTTCCTGGAAACAGGACCTCTAGCTGATATCTCTTCATCAGCGGCAGGAGGAGGGCCTCGTTCGTTTCGCCCACGATAAATCCGGCGGCTTCTGCTGTGGTTTTCTTCATCTGCTGAGGGAACAGTGCAATTAAAGATGCATTGTTACAAATGTGGACACCATAGACAGATCTCAAGTACATCAAAGGGACACATTGAGACAAACGAGACACACAACCATTTAAGTTTAGGAATATGCAAGCTGTTATTAAATAAATACTCTAAATAGATTAACTGATGTTCTTTACAAAGAAAAATAATAGGTGTTTTTGTGTCAAGAACCGAAAGCTCTGAAAGTATAAATTTTATTTTCTCATTTTTATTGAACGTTTTGATATTTTCTCACCTTCTTGGTTTTGCAATGAATTGCTGTTGTCCTTGTGACGCTCTGCCGCCTGTGACGCTTCTTTTCTGGCCTCCTCCAGATCCATTTGTGCTTTCAGCGCTGCTCGTTTGTTCTTCTTCTTGTTCTCCTCATTTTGCTTAACAAAATAAGAATGCATCGTCATCTAGTTTACTCCGAAATGGAAATTTACAACCATGTGTTTTATAATTTTATTCAGCTTGTGTGTTTTGAAAATAACATTACAGTATAAGTTATAACAAATGTGAACAGATGGATCAGTCTGAGTTGTTGTGCTGCTCTCTGCTGGAGTGAACACACAAATACAGCTATTATAGCAAAGGACATCTGGTCTAACTTCACACCAGCCCACTATTTGGAAGCCTAAAAGTCCATGTTTTGACTTTAGACTTCATTGTTGAATTGTTTTTAATGACCCGAGTATCATTTCTATTAAATGTTCAAATGCAAACTTTATTATGTGTTCAAAATTGCTCAAAACCTTATTACTAGTAGAAATCAGGAGTCTATATACACTAATGTATGGATTACCATTTGCAGTTTTTTCTTCAGTTCTACATTTGCTTGTTTGTAGCTTTTGGAAGTAGACTGCAGATAATAAATGGCCAATCTGAAAGGGAAAGTAACAGAGGAATGACATAAAACTAGGCAACATAAATATTAAAAAATGTATTTTCATATACGACAGGTGACAATCTGCAGGTGACTCACACCATGAGCAGGATAAAAGGAAGCACCAGCCCAGGGTTAGAGGCATAACTGAACACTTTACTGAACCAGGCTGGGAAATCAGACTCCAGCGTCTCCTGGATCACGTCAAACATCCGGTTCTTGCCGCTATGGAGAAAGAGTGACAACTGATAAATATAGAACACAGACACCTTAAACTCGCATCGTTACCTGAAGGGTCCGCAATCAAACGAAGGTGGGATGGTAACGATGGTGTAGATGGCTGGCAGAGTGGAGAGGAAGAGGATGACCAGCAGCATGGCCATGTAGAAATTGTTAGAGCCTGAGGCTTTGAAGACCCTCTCCTGTGGGACGTTGCAGCACATCACAGCCCAGCACTGCAGATACATGGAGACGTGGAGCCGCAGGACATTCAGGGCCGGCAGGCAGGGGGCGTAGAAGGCGCCCATCCTGAAAGAAAAGGTCATTTATCATCATTTATTGTGGTTTTTACTGGGCCAGATCATTTGGCTGTACTAAAAAAAGCTTATAAATAAAATCATAGTTGTGTTTTCACCATATCATTCCTTGATTGAAGATGAGCCCCAAAACGTTTCCACTGACATCAAACTCAGAGTAGGAAGGCTTTCAAAAAGGCCACACAAAAAAACTGTTAATCTAATGTAACATTTAGCAATATTTCAATTCACCATCAGTAAAATTAATAGTTGTGATCTTTATTAAAAGGATAACTCACAAACCCAGCCTCAAGGTCCCAACACCAGCAGTAGTTCAGAAAGCGGACGAGCACAGCTCTGAGGAAATCACCAATCAGCAGGGTGATGTAGGTTGTCATCGTATCTGAGATGATCAGCCGGACAAACTCCTGCAAAAATTAAGCTTTTAGTACTTCTCTGCATCCGTTTGGAGCATTTATATAATGTCCATCCACAGAATGGGACATACAGGGGTGCTTGAAAGTTTGTGCACTCTTTATAATTTTCTATATTTCTGCATAAATGTGATCTAAAACATCATCATATTTTCACACAAGTCCTAAAAGTAGATAAAGAGAGCACAGTTAAAATATTATACTTGGTCGTTTATTTAGTGAGGAAAATGATGGAGGAGGAGTTGCCTTCATACATCTCCTCCTACATGTCTCTGCATGAGTGCAGCTACGGAGTGCGTTCTCAGGACATTATTACCTGCAGTGTTCCCTCAATGAGGACTGAACTAGGCAAAAGGGCCTTCTCCTATTCCGCTCCTGTTTCCTGGAATATCCTACAAAAAGATTTGAAGCTCTCGACCTTGACCTTTCTAAGTGTCTTTAAGAATCTGTTGGACACCTGGCAGGGTCCAATGCTGACATGTTCCTGTTTTTAGTTTTCTACATTTGTCTTGGAATCTAGCTGGGTTTTTTTTGTTTTTGTTTTATTTTGTTTTTTTAGCCATCCTATTTGTTAAAAAAAAAAAAAACCTGCAGTATGACTTTTTATAACTGTTTATTGTTGTTGCTGTTGTCCATTGTTGTCATCTTTCTTTGTTGAAATCAGGTCTCTCTTGTAAATGAGTCCTCGAGGCTCAATGGGATTTACCTGTCTAAATAAAGGTTGATTGATTGATTGATTGATCCAAGTAGCACTGTAGCAAACATCTCACTGCTTCTATACAACATGCCAAGAAATCTGACATCACCAGTGGCTGACCAGTAGTTTATTATTACAGTATATTGCTTCAGAAAATGATCTAATTTTATGTAACAATGCCATTTCTGGTAAATACAAGCTTTTCACAACAGTTTTTTAAAAAAGGAGCACCCTGACCTGCCCCACCATGGTCTCCCAGCAAGGCCCTCGTGGCACATCAGCAGGATGGATGGTGACAGGCGGAGCAGTGAAGTTTCCTGACACGGTCCCGTTGTAATGGCTTTCCTCCCACATGGTTATATTATATTTCACTACCTTTTCCTCCTCTCTCTGAGGAAGGCACACTTTGATTAGTCACACTAAAAGAACAATACCACTCATCTGCATGTGAGGATGGTTCTCACTTTCAGGTTGATCTCATCCATGAGGGCAATGATGAATGTGTAGAGGTTTCCTAAGAAAAGAGCAAAGATGCGACCCAGCTGCCACTGCAGTGCAACACGAGGGTGGTAGTTCTCCAGGGTGCTGATGACGTCAAACAGCATGGGGCAGAACATTCCCAGTAAAGACATGACCATGTTCACCTGAGACATGGAAAGGGCTTCACTCAAACAATTGGATTCAAGGACACTTCAGAATACTGCTCTTTTATCTTATGGTCTTTTTTACCCATTGGCAAAAATTTTAAATGTATTACTATGAAATTTACTTTAAGTGCATGTGTATACAGTGTGATTGAATTGTAAACTAACTTACTCTATGGAATAATAAGAAACTAATACTGTGATTTAGCAAGTGGGTGAGTTCACAGGACACACATCCACAATATTTTATTCAGCTTTGACAAAACCCAATTGATATTTTAATTTGAGATGAGTTTTACAACAGTATCATGTATTATTTTACAATAAATGTCTTCTAAACCTACAAGAAATAATAGATGCTCAGCAGAGTTTTCACATTAAAATTTGAAACTATAATATTTGAGTCACTGGAAACACCTGATTTATGCTTCGACTTTAAAATTAACTAACCTAGAGATCAACAGGCCACATTAAGAAATATTACATGAAATAATTTCCCTAAAGAAATGTTGCAGTGGGTCTGATATTCTGTATTCAGTCATTTTTACCTCATTCCTTTCCCACCATGAGTGATTCTCGAGACCATCCAGGGTAAATTTCTGAGAGCGGCGCACCACAAAGTAAATGAGATATCCACTTCCTGCTAGGCAGCACAGGACCAGGAAGTTTGCCAGTACCCGCAGGAAACGAGTCAGGTGGATGTTGTCATCCTTCCGACTCTCCTGCTCCTCCAGAATGGCTTCCTAAACATGAAGCAAAAAGAGTGGTTAAAAAAAACTGTTGCATCAGTTACCAGACTGGAAATGCAACAATCAAAAGCCTTGACCTTGAAGCTGGTGGTGATGGAGGCAAATTTATTGTCTGCAGTCTCAGGGTTTCCTATCAAATAATCCCAGCTGGTGAACGTCTTCCAGCTGAAGTTGAAGCTGTTATCATCTCCGATCCCCGACTCATTTGCATTACGAGCCATCCTTCATTCAGAAATAAATGCACTCTGTAGAATGATTCGCCAAAGATCAATTACATCAATTACTTATCGGCCTTAATAACTTACGTTCTAATGACGACCATGTAGCTGTAAGCCACTGTGCCCGCACCAACCAGAAAGTACGACAGAGGCATTCTGAACTTGAGCCAGCCGACGGCACGCTGGTTGTTGTAGTAGCCATAGAAGAGGACCGAATACTGAGCGTACCCCTGTGAATACAGTTCAGACAGAACTACATACTAAATTAATAAAAACTGGCACATGATAAAGTGCAATAAAACAATCTAAAAAAAATAGCATTATGTGGTTCATCTGTAACTGACCTTAAAGTCCCAGAGGACAGCAAAGTCCATGGCACTGGCCTCCTCAGCTCTGGGAACCGTCTTTCTTGGAATGGTGCCGTAGGGCCGTCCCATTAAAGCCTGTTGATGGTCGGCAGGGAAGGGGAGAAGAATCATATGAACTTTTTACGCCTCATATGGGACACTGAACAAGGACTTTTCTATGGTTGTTAACATTATATTTGAAAAAATAAAAATAAATAATCTGCCATCATGAATATTATTCAGCTGCACTTAAATTCGGAGTTCCACAAGGCTCCTTTCAGGGCCCTGTTTTATTTTTGTCATAAATTTAAATCTATTTTAAGAATATATATCTTGTCCCAGATATATTCAGATCTATACTGACTAATAATAATAATTATCATCATCAACATCCCTGTCAGGGTTGGCAGAAGGTTCAGGCCCAGAATGTAGATAAACATAATGAGCTTGATGAAATAACTAAACACTATTTTTAAACAATTGCTGATGTGACAATAAAATTTACCTACACCGACCTAGCACAGGGACAAGAAGACAATCATGGAGCACAAAGAATTTGAGGAGGGCATGGTATAAAAAAACAACATTGTTCGACTGGTGAGTAAATGAAAAATGACTGAATGGACTGAGGCTGATGGTATCTGTGAAATGAAACCAGGACCAGGAGGAGCTGGGTGTGCCAAGATGACTGGGGCAGCAGAAACTAATTAAAGAAACGTGAGTAATGGCACAAAGAGAACACAAGGAACATAACTGAAGTCAAGAATAAGAAAACAGGATCCTGACAGTCCAACTTTTATACTCACAGACATTCAACTCAAATAGAGCAGAACAACTTAAACTTTGTTTTATTTAATTGGCTCTTAGTTTTTCTAGCACTTTGGTGAAACTTTGTTCATGATTTTTTAAAAACATTAATCTTATTTAAGAGAGAATCGTCCAGAGATGAATTAATAAATGTTAGGGTACATTTTGGATACATACCTCTGGTACCATAACCAGGCCAAAGGTCAGTCCAAACAGGATCATGTTGATGCCGTACATCCACCGCAGGAAGATAAAGTATGAGGCCACCGAGGAGCCAAAATGACCTGTATACAATACATAATGGACATCGTTTGTCAGAGAAATGTGTCTGGTCAACATAAATAGGCTTAAGTTGTCTTAAAACATTCTCATGAGGTAAACTTACTTTCAATCTCTTTTATTTTCATCTCCCATGGGATGCAGGCGGTTTTGAAGTTTTCAAAGTCTCGTATAAACTTCATCCACCTCTAATGACATGAATGTTTTGTGTGTGTGTGTGTTTTAATCCCAGTTTTAACTGAATACATTTAAATATTTGTATCAAGTGAAATCCATCGTCAACTTGCCTTGGCCATCATGACCTTGTACGCGTACAGCTTCCTGCCTTTTCCTTTCCCCAAAGCTCCTTCATATTTCTCCACAAACTTCTGAGACTCTCTGAAATAAAGCACACACTCACATAAAGTATTACCAGCTACATGAACAGGAAACTTTATTCTGGAAATTAACTAAAGTACCGTAAAGTGACGAGTTTGTTTTTCATCGGCCAGGGTTTCCCCCTCAGACTTTGGATCAGTTTCTTCTTCTCATCTACGGCCTCCTTCAGCTTCTCCAGCTCCTCTGGGGACAGAGAGTCCGGCCTCACCTCCTCGTCATCATTGGCATTATCTTCATCATCTCCTTCCTCACTTGTCTCCTGTTCAGAACTGATATTGAAGACTCGTGTTATTTACCTTAACAAATGCAGAGAAAGCACAGGTCTGTGGAAGTTTTACCTCGTTTCAACAACTTTTTTGTGCTTTTTCTTCTTCTTCTCTTCCTGTGAGTTCTCTTTGGTCACATGTTTACTTCCACCCTCTTTCTTCTCCACTTTTTTGGCACTTCCTTGTTTCTTATTTCCTTTTTTCTTTCTTTCTCCAGCTTCTCTCTCCACCTCATAGTCTTTCTTTTTAGTTTTTTCATTCTTGCTGCTCTTCTTTGTCTTTGCTGTCTTGTGCCTTGCTGTTTGGCCCCGGTCCCCCTCGTCCCTCTTGCTTTGCTTTGTTTCTCGATCACTGCTTCTTCTCCGGTCCCTCTCTGTCTTCTTCTTCCTTGGCTGAAACTCCTTTCCTCTGTCTGCTGATGAGGAAGTTTCATTTCTCCCACTATTTTTCCTCTTCTTCTTCTTCTTCTTCTCTCTGTCAGTAGCTCCTCTGTACCCTCTGTGCATTTGCGTCTCATGTCTTTCTTGAAAATCATCATCCCCTGTAACAAACGCATGATTCTGCTCTCGTTCACTGGTTTTTATTTTTATTTTTTGTGCAAACAAATACTAATTCTTGCTTTGCAGCACTTTTCTACAATTTTATGTCTCTTTGCTATGCTGTCAACCCAGAAAAAGGTTAGTATTGTGAATTTTTGTCTAATAATCTCATTTTGACTTAAGAACAATATGAAATGATGACTATGGAGGTAAATAGAAAGAAACATACAGAGAACAATCTCTAAAACAAAACTGATTTTTTTAAAGAACAATAATATGTCTATCACATCGTTTTTCAGTTTATGCTGATTTAAGAATTGTATATTTCACATTTATGTAGTCAATGAAGAGCCCACTGACCTGTAAAGTCCAGCTCAATGTCAGCTGAGGAGGAGAGATGACGTAAGTGTAAAATCTACAAAGTTAAAAAAACAAGACATCTTCCAAAACTTTTTGTCTTTTGTCCTATTTATTTGAATCCATCCATCCATCCATTATCTTTTACCCGCTTCTTCCATTTTGGGTCACGGGGGTCGCCGGTGCCCATGTCCAGCAATCACTGTGCGAGGGGCGGGGTACACCCTGGACAGATCTCCAGTCCATCACAGGGCCACAGAGAGACAAACGAGACAAACAACCATTCACTCTCTCACTCACTCCTAGGGACAATTTAGAGTTACCATTCAGAATATATATACGTATATATATATATATATATATATATATATAAGGTCCTTGAACTCCAAGTAGCTTGTTGAAGCCATTGACCATTTTACAAACATATAAAATGCTATTGGCTTCAGCAAGCTACTTGGACTTCAAGGACCCTATTAAAAATTGCATGTAAGTTGATTTTATTGTACAGAAGGAATGGCATTATTTCAACCATTTCTTTTGCACGTCACAAAACACCTGTACTTGATTACATATGATAACCCTGCAGACATCTCTTCATACTTAACTGTTCAAGCTAATGCAAGTTTTGATATATGTCTCTATACTGCATAAATCCATGAGATCATCCTATTACAACCTCAGGTTTTTATAAATCCTCTCCATATTTTATGCCTTCAATGCCACACTGACCCCTTTCACTGGTCGAGTCAAACCTTCCTTATTGTGCACCTGACTCCATTGTGCTGCTGTAAAAGGGGATAAAGAGGAAAACAAAGAAGACCACTGACAGTCTGAACAGATATTTATGTAATCGGCCTTTTGATGTGTGTCCTTACTGTAACCGGAGTGGGCAGCACACGGGTCATTACGGTCGGGTGCAGCAGAGGGGCACAAAAGGAGCAAACAAAGGCCTAATGAAGGGAAGATGAAGTGGCCAAGTCCAAGGACAGGAGAGACGGTTGAGGGCCAGCTCCCAAAACTTAAACAGGGTGAGCAGGAAGCAGGAATGTGCTACATTAAAAAGTGTCTGTTATTGATATTTTATTGTTTTGCAGGGTGAAAACGATCTAATAATAGTTTTACTTTCACATGTATCATGAAAATATGCATGTCTTTGTAGGAAAAAGGGCTCTAGGTCAACCCTGTTTAAACAGGCGAAATTCAAATGCATTGAAGTTTGTTTATCAATCAATATGTATAAAACAACAAAGTATAATATTATTAAACTGTAATTGTAACTATCACAAAAAGACAACATTGTGAATCTTGAGTGTTTTTAGAAAACCTACATAAAGTAACATGATGTGCAAAGCAAAAAAGCTATTTTCTTACAGAAATGAAAACATTGTCATGATCTTACTATCATTCTCAGAGAGGATCAAAGTATCTCGAGGCATCGTCCTCTCATGGTCCTGTCTCCCCTCGCAGAGTGGCCCCGCAGCATCCGAAGGTGAAGTGAGCTGGAGACGGTGAAGCTGCAGGCTTTAATACAGTAGATCTCACCACTGCAACATCTCATGCATCACAAACCTCATCCAAGTGCAGTACATGTACTGCTACAGAAAGCAAACATGCAGGTGGGTGCACGTGTGCTCACAGCTTGGATTATGATGAATATCTTGCATGAGACGTTCACTTTTTCCTTCCCACCCATCGACCTGAAACGGGAACAATGATCAGATGGAAACCTTAGAGCTGTGCAATTTCACTAACAATCAATTATTTAAAACAGTTATGACTGCCTTTATGCAGCTGTGTCTACTTGTAAATAAATATGTAAATGTGCATGGATGGGGGGCAAGATGAACGAATGAAACTCACAAGTACAGCGTGCTAAAGTGAGTACTTAGGATCCTTTGTACAAATATGCTGCATCAAATTGATGACATCACTGTTAGGGTTTATGCAGAATTATCTGTACAAAAATATTACATTCACCTAACTGAATGTATTTTACAGTTTTTATAACTACAGTGGACAGCTTTGTTGAGTTTTAGACATGATTAATCAGTTTTATGACAATTCACACATTAATCAAACAGAAACCCATTTCCAATCAGGCAGAACAAAGAGAGAAAAAATTGAGACATATATATATGTATATATATATATATTCTTCTTCTTTTGGCTTCTCCCTTTGTCAGGGGTCACCACAGTGAACTGAGTCGCCCAAAGACTTGTCAATTATTTCTACACTGGATGTCCTTCCTGACGCAACCACAGACCATCGAGCTACTGCAGTCCTCTGTGTGGAGCAGAGAGCTGCTATCTAGGGCGCCCGGGGGAGTGGATGGGGAGGTTAAGGGCCTTGATCAAGGGCCCAGAGTGGAGCAAATAAGAATGGAGGCAGGTGTGGGTGTTTCACCTATTCCATCCACATTTTGATGTTGTTGGTACCGGAAGGGAGTTTGCATGTTCTCTCCGTGCATGCGTGGGTTTTTGCCAGGTACTCTAGTTTTCTCCCACAGACCAAAAACATGCATGTTAGGCTGATTGTTAACTCTAAATTGCCCCTAGGTGTGAGTGAGAGAGTGAATGGTTGTTTGTCTCTTTGTCTCTATGTGAACCTGTGATGGACTTGAGACCTGTGCATGGTGTACCCCGCCCCTCGCACAATGATTGCCGGACATGGGCACCGGCGACCCCCGTGACCCAAAATGGAAGAAGCGAGTAAAGATAATGGA